TGCTCCAACAGTTGGAGGAGATTGATTTTTCTGAAAGGTATATTGTTGTATTTAGTACTCTACTTAAAGCATTGCATTATTTTGTTTGTTGTTCTACGTTGTAGTTGCTTGGTGTTGGATTCTTATGGTATAAAGAACCTCTGATTGTAGATGATAGGGTGATCCGTGAGATTCAAGCAACTTGCAATTTAAAATCTGGGATCAGCTAGTCCATAGGATGATGATTCGAAAGCAAAATTTGTCTCTACAGCCATGCCTTAAGCTTGCTAATTTATCTTTAAGAACGTTTTTTGCTTAGCTCAAAAGTCTTAAGATAACAGTTAGTAAATTTTGTTTTTTACTGATTGCAAAATCATGGTAGAATTGACAATAGTTCTAGATTTTTGGTCAAAAGAACTGCCGCATAGCTGAAGTTTCTATCCAAAAATGTATCAAAGAGGTTGGTGGCTGTCCATCTGGGAATTAACTTGATGAAAAAGTAAGAGGTGAAATATAGTTCATCTGATGAATATCGGAGTGAGCACTCTTCCAAGATATTTGTAGGAAGTGGTAAATATGGTCTCATTCCTTTCTCGAATTTACACAATGCTGTGGTGCTTTTTGAAAGATTAAGAATGCAGGCTTTAAAGATGAATTCACCTTGAGTGTGTTTTCCCTTTATTTGCTGTTCCTCTGAGAATGCCTTCCTACTCCCAATTGCAGTTAACTCAAAATGGCGAAGCATGTCTCATGTGGTAGTGATGGATTCTCATGAAGTTCCATTTAAATAGTATTGAGCAGTTTCATTAGAATGTCTAATTATCTTCAAACAGGTACTCTTCTCTGAAGGAAATTCTTCACAGTTGTGATTTTCTTGTGGAATTGGAGCAAAAAATAGAATTCTGTATTGATTGCAGCTTTTCAGTAATCCTTGATAGAGCTAGTGAAGATTTGGAAATTATAAGATCCGAGAGAAAGAGGAACATGGATAATCTAGAATTATTGTTGAAGCAATTATCAACTCAAGTTTTTCAAGGTGGAGGATTTGACAGGCCTTTAGTGACCAAGCGCCGTTCAAGATTGTGTGTTGCTGTGAGAGCTTCACATAGATCTTTGCTTCCTAATTCCGTAATCCTAGATACAAGCAGTAGTGGATCTACATACTTCATGGAACCTAAAGAGGCAGTTGAGCTAAACAACATGGAAGTTAAACTTTCTAGTTCTGAGAAGGTTGAGGAGCAAACAATTTTGAGTTTGCTTACATCTGAAATAGCAGAATCTAATATGAAAATAAAGCACTTATTAGATAAAATATTGGAAATCGATCTTGCATTTGCAAGGGCTGCTCATGCTCAGTGGATGGGTGCTGCCTGTCCAGCTTTAAGTCCAAGAAATTGCAACATATCCCAATCTGAACATTTATCTATAAATGTAGAAGGGATACAACATCCTTTGCTTCTTGAATCCTCCTTGGAAAACTTGTCGACTGATGTGTCCCCAAGATCACCTGATTTGGATCAAGGAAATGGTGTCGTGAATTTCGAGACAAAATCTCATGCACATTTCCCTGTGCCCATTGATATTAAAATTGGTCATGGAACAAAGGTTGTTGTCATCTCGGGCCCAAATACCGGAGGCAAAACGGCTTCAATGAAGACTCTAGGACTGGCTTCTATGATGTTGAAGGCTGGCATGTATTTGCCTGCCCAAAATAAACCACAGCTTCCATGGTTTGACCTTATTCTGGCAGACATTGGGGACCAACAGGTACTTGGTTTTGTTATACTCCCTTCTTTCCCCATCATCCGTCTCAGATGTATGTCTTTTTTCAATCTAACCCAGTTGAAGTTTCATGTGCTTCTTCATTGTCTTGTTTCTTTTATTAGCACCATCTATCTTATCAATTGAAATTTTATATTTTGCCTGCTGAAGTCTCTGGAGCAAAGTCTATCAACCTTTAGTGGGCACATTTCACGGCTTCGTGAGATTCTAGAAGTTGCTTCTGGAGAATCTCTAGTTCTTATTGATGAAATTGGAAGTGGGACCGATCCTTCAGAAGGTGTAGCACTTTCAGAAAGCATACTGCAATATCTCAAGGACAGGGTTAATTTAGCTGTTGTAACTACCCACTATGCGGATTTAACTCGCTTAAAAGAAAAGGACAATCGGTTTGAAACAGCAGCAACAGAGTTTTCCTTGGAGACTCTACAGCCTACCTATCGGATTCTATGGGGAAGCATGGGTGAATCAAATGCCTTGAATATTGCAAAATCAATGGGCTTTGATGAAAGAATAATTGAGCGAGCAGTATTATGGGTGAACAAATTGAGACCAGACAAGCAGCAGGAGCAGAAGGGTTTACTTTATCGGTCACTAATTGAAGAAAGAGATAGACTAGAATCTCAAGCAATGGAAGCTGCTTCTCTTCATTCAGATATTATGAATATTTATAATGAGGTATCTTTCTGGTACTTTTCTTGGGGATTTAGTCCATTATCCCATTCATATATCTTCAGTACAAATGAGAGAAAGAAGGTCCCAATTTCTTTGCTATTATAGAATGTATTAACTTGTGGATGATATGACAATTCAAAAAGTTATCATATCCAGGAGGTTTCTTGATCTTTTATCCAAGTTGTGTCCTAAAGGCCACCGTATCTTAATTTGTGGGTGTGCATCTTTTCGCGATGATCCTCCGCATGAAAATTGTCGTCATTATCCACAGCAGAGTCAAGATGAAGTTGCATACTGTCATTCAGTTTCCTCAGTTCTGCTCTGTATTGCTCTCTTTTTCTATCAATTCTCTTTGCTTGAACCCAGCTATGAGAATTCTTTTCAACTGTTTTCGCTTTTTAACTTCTGAACTGTCATTGATTTAGTTTCTAGATGTGCTCTTAGATCTGTGTTACTGCGGATTCTATTTGGTTGTTGCCTGTTGGTGTATTACCATATTAGTGAACTCTAATCGACATAGTTTATAACTTCAGAGTAAATATTTCTGGTTTAACTCACTTGAAATATTATCAGATATTTTTTGGGGAGATGCTGTCGCACGACCTCAGAAATATTTTAACCATTATTTGGGTTTCCTATGATCTTCACTATTTTCATTCTTCTTTTTCATGCAATGAAGATTAACAATGAAACACAAGACCTTGATGGACGTGAAGCTGCCCTCATAGCAAAGGAAACACATGAAATACAACAGGAAGTGAGAGCTGTGAAAAATGAGATCCAAACTATAGTACAGCGGTTTGAGAGCCAACTCGGAAATGTAAGTGTTGACGAGATTAATACACTTGTAAAAAAAGCGGAAGCTGCTATTGCATCGATAGTTGAAGCTCATCAGCCTAGTAAAGATTTTCTTGTCAGAGAAATAGGCCAGAGCCTTTACACACCACAGGTTGGTGAACAAGTATATGTGAAGGCGTTTGGAAATAAGTTGGCCACTGTGGTTGAGGAACCTGGGGATGATGACACTATCCTTGTTCAATATGGAAAAATCAAAGTCCGCGTGGACAAGAGCAGTATAAGACCCATTCCCCCTGATGCTTCCTCCAGTGCAGCTAACTTGAAAACCCAGGTTTGCAGACTCTTGAGTTCTATCTTCTCAATCACTCTCTCTTTCTTGCTTGAAGTAAAATACACATACATACAAGACACACACACACACATGTGAACATACGCTCCGATGTCAGTGAGACCATGGTAATTGAAGGTGTTAAATGGAACGAGGTAGACCTAAGAAGGCTGTTTCCAAAGACCTACAGTCTCTTGAAGTCCATGAAAATGTTGTGAAAATTAGGGTACAATGGAAGAATACTCCCAAATTACTTGAGATTGAGGTTAATCATGTTGGTATGTCACTTGAGCTCCAGTTCTTAGAGTCTCTTAGTGTTATAGAGATTCATACACCAACAGAAAATGTAGCTACCTTCTAATGCTGGAAAACATATTTTTTTCTACATAAGATTGAGACGGATTGAAATAGAGTGACACACATTGTTTTATGCATGTGAGGCTAGTTTAACAGTTAGGTAGTCTGATCTTGGAACTTATAGGCCTAGCTTAGATAAATGAATGGTGTTGCATGCTTCAGTAAAGATGAGTATCTAGAGATTTTTCGTGTGAGCTGGGTTGCGTTTCACATATAACTGATCTTTGCTAATGCTTAATTCTCACTTTCTCTAAAAACATGTGGAATGAATGTAGGTTCAGCAGATCAGGAGTCTCAGGGACCTTGGAAGTCTCTCTGAAGCAAGCAAAAATCAGCAGGATTCTTATGGCCCTGTGCTGCAGACATCTAAAAACACCGTAGATTTACGTGGCCTGAGAGTGGAGGATGCTTCTCATCAGCTCAAAATAGCCATTGATTCAAGAGCGCCTAATTCTGTTATTTTTGTTATTCATGGGATGGGCACTGGAGTCGTAAAAGAATCTGCACTTAAATTACTAAAAGATCATCCTCGTGTTGTTAAGTTTGAACCGGAAAGTCCTATGAATTATGGCTGTACAGTTGCTTATATCAAATGAAAACATTTGGACCAAACTCCAAAGTATAAAAGTAATATACTCAACCCATGTTTCTGAACTGCACAAGTTGTTTCAATCAACACATGACAATTTTTGGGACAATCTGATACACAAAATATTTTGAATTTGTGTGAGTCGAAGAAAGGATCACAATCCAAGACCATTGTTTTCGAGTAATGGTTTTGTGGTTTATTTTGTGTCCCACAAGTTCTTTTTTCACGTAATGTCTCGATCGTTAATTACATTATCTTCCCATCTCTTAAAATTGAAAGATACCTCCATAGAAGGAAAAATTAGCTCAAAATTATTATTAGAAATGAAAGTTTGAAAAAGACCCAAAGCATTATTAGTATAGCGTCTTTATCTTAAACTTGTTCAATTTGCATAGACAAATCATATTGAGTTTTATTGGATGAGTTATCCAGAAGAGTCCAATTTTGCCTGCTTCTCGAAGTGCGTAAAAGTCATTATACACTGCTTGTTTCAGCCTTCAGTATTTAGACAAAACTTTCTTGGCTTCTTTCTTCTATACAATAAAAAAAATAATATTCCTAATTTAAAACAAGTATGTTTGATTTTCTGGATTTTCAAAACCATGTTCCAAGAAAAAGATAATTTTATTTATACAAAATTTTCATAACGTAAAATATTTAACTACTAATAAGTGCCATTTGAACAATGGATAGATGTGACAGATGTACTGTCAACATTATTGATGCCACGTCAGTACTTTATTTTCGGTTACAACAGTCATTTGGATAAGCATCTCAAGAGTTTGTACATTTCGTAGTTTGACTTGATACGAAATTTTATTTATTTTTTATTTTTTTTGAAATTTGTAATTTATATAAATAGTCATAATATTGTTGTTGCTGCTGGGAATTTTATGGTTAATGAAAAAAGTTTCTAGCTTTTATTTGAGTAGTAAACATGTTGGCTGTGTTTGAGCAATCTATTGGGAAGCCACCTTCAGAGCTGAGCGTTGCTCAGACAGATAGACAGAAAAAGGAGGCTAAAACAAAGGAAGAGATTGAAGAAAGTTTCAAATCATGGAAGCCAGACTCAACTTTTTACCACCTTTCAAATGGGAATTTCATGGCTTTTTCTCATGGAAATGAAAACCCTTTCCATCCAAGGTATTAAAGTTTTGTTCTGAAACTAATTTGTTTCTTTTATAAAATGATAATGTGTTTTTTCTTGTTTGTGCTTGGATTTGTGTTGTTGTACATTGATGATGAGTGTATACATAAAGGGGGGATTTTTGTTATATTTCAAGACTAGAGGCAATAAACAAGGTGACTGACTAAAGGAGCTTGTTTTGTTTTGTGTAACATATATAGGTCTATTGTGGTGATGGATGACATATTCTGCATCTTTTCTGGTGGTTTAGACAACACTTTTGATTTGAGGAAATATTATGGTCTTTCAAGACAAGCTACAGAAGCTATGATAATGGTTGAGGCTTACAAAGTTTTAAGGGATCGGGCGCCATACCCTCCTGATCAAGTCATCAAAGAACTTGAAGGCAAATTTGCTTTCATTCTCTTTGACTATAAAGCCTCCACTCTTTTTCTTGCTAGGGTGAGTGATAAAGTTACTTATAGACGATTCTCTAACGTACTATCACACGTTAAACTATATTGATAGTGGAAAAGAATCTGAATGTTATGATCAGTATATGTAACATAACTAGCTCCTTTATCAGAATAAACTTGATGTATCTCCAAACAATGTATAGGATCGCGATGGAAGTGTGCCGTTACACTGGGGAACTGCTACAGATGGATCATTAGTATGTTCTGATGATTCAGAGTTCATTCAAGCTTCTTGTGGGAAATTGTATACCCCGTTTCCTCCAGGTTTCTTAATCAAATCCTCTTTTAAGTTTAATCTGATGTTTTTGGAGATCCAGCGGAATTCAATGTGTTAAAGCTGATTGTACAGGTTGTATCTTCATAAGTGACACTGGGCTAATAAGCTTTGATCATCCAATGCACAAAGTAAAAGGAATTGCGCGTGAAGATGATGAAGGAAATGTCAATGCTGTGATTTTCCAGGTGGACTTGTACACCAAACTCCACAGCATTCCGCGCAGGGGAAGTGCTGCGAATTGGGCTGGTGCTACTACGGTTGAATGAAACGGAAGATTTGAAACTTTGACGATCTTCCCAAGTTGAGTCATTATTGTAATAATGTTAAATCACAAACGGTATGCTACTTTGTGGCAATCTTGTTAAATAATCTGAAATCATATGTTGCTGCAATAATAATATTTCCATCATCAATCGACTGTTTCTTACTAAACATGTTCAGTTACCTAATAATCTTGTGGCTCCATTCATGGTTTTTGAAACAAACAGTGTGCTTAGGTTTCTCCTTCTGTTATTGTTGACAGAATCAGTGAAGTAAAACATGATGAGAGTCGCATAATATTATTAGGCTCATAGGTCTAGTTGGCTTGAGCATATGAATACAGCGGGTTGCGACATGAAGTCTATTTGGAGGAGAAAATAACAAAATGTTGTCTTACATTTGTTTTGGTTTTTGGAGGTTGCATTAAGCAACTATAACTAGGATGTTCTCTTTTTTCAGTATAAGAACCCACCATGGCCAATATTAGCCCATCTTACCTCGGGCTTGGTAGAAAACCCGAGTTTGATGAACAGAAGCCATTTTAGATCTCTTTTGCACTACAATAGCATGATTTGGTGGATCCCTTTGGATACGGGCAAATTGTTTTGCTTGCTTATTCATTTCTCAATAGACAGAGATTCTTTTAGTGTGATCAAATCAATTCAACTAAAACAAGTTTTATTAAGTTCCTTGTAAATAGTTAGCTTCTTAGACAGTATATACTGTTTTTTGGCTGAAGCTACATAACATTATTACATATTAAGTTTCTTTTTCTTGGATTCAGGATTGGGGTGTGGGTGGGTCGGGGATATTGTTTGTGATATCTTCCTCTTGCTTCTCTGATTGATGACCATGTTGGTTCTCATGTGTGTCGTGCTGGTCTAACTGATGACCGTGTTTGTTCTCATGCTTGTCTTGCTGCTCTGACTGATGACCATGTTGGTTCTCGTGTTTGTTATGCATTGGAGAAACAAAGCGTAGAAGAAACTCACCACATTCTTCAGTGTCACATACATCTGGGCTACATCTGTAAGGTTCACTGAAATGTGATATTCCTGAGATATGGAATTCAGTGAGTCCTCCACTAGGACTGTTGCCTGGACATACATAACCACATCCCTCAATACTCCAACCGGGGTCCTCAGTAGCATACTGATCAGAGGTATCAGAACCACCTGTTCCTCTGCTACTTCCACGACCAAATCCTAAACGTCTAGCTCCCCCTACATGGTGACCTACATCTCCACTGTGTAGATGTTGTTGTTTGTCCAGCATTGTAGAAACAAAGTTTAGAAGAAGTTCATGGTTAAAATCTTTGTCTCCGCGCATGTTTGGTCCTGGTTTGCATCTGTATGGTTTGGTGAAGTGTGATAATCCTGAGATTTTGAATTCTGTGACTTCTCCACTAGGATTATTAACAAGACACACATAACCACAATCAGGGGAATAGACTGGGAAATCAAAGCCAGGTATATAACCAGGGACACCTCCACCAATGCCAAACCCAAATCTTCCACCACCAACGCCAACACCAACACCAAAGCCAATGCCAAATCCACCTCCACCACCACCAATGCCTAATCCGCCATCACTGCCTCCTCCGATATTACTCAAAGCGTGAGCTTTGTGGTTGTGATGATGATCAACTTCAATAGGCTGGGCAGAGCATATTGCTAAGCTTAGCAAAACCATAAAACAAATGTTCAAACATGTTGGAGCTGCCATTTTAGCTAAGTTTATTTAAGAAAAAGACTTTGATTTGATTATTGATGATGCTATACTACTATTACAACACAAGAGTATATATAGGCCACAAGTTCCTAACACAATTGGAGCTTTTCCAGAAAAAAGGCAAATCTGAGGCAACATTTAAGGTTGCATGTATTAATTTGTTGGAAACATGAACTTGGTGTGAGGAAAACAAAATTTTGTCTCACCTCAGTTACAGTTTGTGGGAATTGCATTATTTGGAATTTTTTTTAAAAAAATGAATTATTTTACTATGGAGATCAAGAAATGGAAAGGGTAAAAGAATAATAAAAATTGAACCTACACATATTGCACCAATAAAAGATTTGTAAGTCTCGTGTCAATGCATGGAATGCTCATATCGAATGGTTAAACAACTTGTTTTTTTTACCTTATGTAGTACATAGTCCAGTTGAAGTTCATTGTATCTGAACTACTTAGGCCATTTGGTTATTTAGATGGGATAGACAAACACATCTCATGTATCGGAATACGTCTTACGTCCCTATTTAGTTATCCACTTTAAAAATGACGAGCATATTAAGATAACAATAATTAGCATAATGAAGTTATAATGACATGAATTAAAACTTAGAAATTTTCAAGAAGTTTAAATGAATGTATTATAAGATTTTTTTTTTTAATTCATTCGTGATTTGTCAAAATGAACAAGTAAATAGGGATAACTAAAAAAGAAATATGGACAATTAAAGAAGGACAGAGAGTATATAATATAATATATTATTCTACTTAAATTTTAGGACACAACGATTTCTTAACATCGATGCATATGACTTTCCCTAAAAGCTAGCTCAAAGAGAGGAGGATTGTTCAAGCCTTATAAAGAATTCACTCATCTTATTAATCACCGATGTGGGAATTTTTTGTCATTCTTTAACACTCCAGTGCTTAGCGTCTGGTGTATGAGCAATTTTGATTTTGGGGGATCCAACATCGGGGCACATCTCACCTGATGTTGGGACCCTCCAAAATCAAAATTTTCCACGCACCAAACACTAAGCACTGGGCGTGAGGTGGGGTGTTAAAGAATGAAAAAAATTTAAATCGGTGTAATAAGAGGTGAACCTTTTATAATGCTTGGACAATCCTTTGAGCTAGCTTTTAGAGTGTGAGTTAGATATAAGACCTAATTTCACAGTAAGCCAACTAGTTGAGTTCACAAGATGATGGGCATTATTATTAGTGATGAAATTGCTTTAATAACTTCCAACAATATCTCTTTTTTTAATTTTACATGAAGGCAAAAAAGAGAGAGTATTTTATATTTTATTTGTAGCATTAAAATTGTAATGCCGTTATAAACTGTTATTTAGTGCATCTTAGAAAATTGATTTTAGAATACCCCTTTTAAGATCATGGACGTGATTTTAAATTATTATATTAAACTAGGTAATTTTCTCGCACTTCGCACAGTTATAAAATATTAATTGCATTAAACTTGTAATATTTTTTTTTAATATTCACACATCAAAAATAATATCAAAGTAGGTTCTTAAAAATATTAGCAATATTTTAACATGAATTTGATTATTCGACATTATCACATAACTCAAGAATCTCTAATAAATGAACTACTGACGAAATAATAAATCATTGATTCTTTAATCAAAAAGTAAAATAAAGAAGTAAATAAGAATATATATTCAAAGAAATTTCGTAATAAAAAGAAACGTTTAAGTTGCATAAATTATACAAATGTGAGATATGCATTAGGAGAAAATTAAAAAAATTGTTAACATCTTCAAAAAAGAAATTACTCTTGAACATGAAAGCAATTATAACTTTTGAATATGCATAATGAATTTCTTCAACTGATAAGCGAAAAATTTCCTATCTATGTAAAAATAAATAATATGTAATCTTATATAGTACATGTAAGTCATTGAATTTAATATAGAATATCAAAACATGAATTTTTGGAACTGAGTATAATTATTATGCATAATGAATATCCGTAATATATGTGTGTATGTTCAATATAATCGGAGATAATTAATTTGCAGAAATATAAACAACAGAGTTTAAAACATGTACTCAAAAATAATAATTTATATCATAAGCATAATGAATGTAAAAAAACATACCAGGATATGTAAAAACAAAATGGAAATAGAAAGGAAAAAATCGAATCCGGTGAATGCACAATGTTCCCTTAAGAAAACTATTCCCCTCCAATCCCAGAGGCTTACAAAATTACATCCACTTAGGATGGAACGGTCTTATTCATCAACTTATTGATACAAAAGCAGTGTGTGTTAGTAAGTCACTCCACAGGAGCAAAGTTTACAAATATTAAAATTTGAGGAATTAGAAGAAAAAGAAGAAGATCAGAACTTTTGTTGTTTTTAAATCAGAGAGAATCTCATTATTTATAGACAACAAAGGATAGTGTGGACAAATCTTTATTGTGTTTTATCAAAAAGGTCATAATTATTAAAAAAAGTTACAATTCTTCGAAAAGTTCACAACCTTTAGTAAAAGTCACAATTCTTCATTAAAGTCCCAACTTTTCATAAAAATCGCAACTCTTAATTAAAGTCGCAGCTTATCATAAAAGTTACTTTTGATAAAAATCGCAACTCTTTATTAATGTCGTCATAAAAGATAAAAGTCACAACTCTTATTTACGTCGCAACTTTTCATGAAAAATGAAGACTAATTTTGAAAATAAATAAATTTCACCGTGACGCTACGTAGACGGGCCTAGAATTCTCTTTTATATAAATATATGATATGATTAATTAATAATTTAAAATTATGATACGAAATTAAAATTTCAAATATGTTGATTTAAAATTACAATTTTGTTAGACATTTAACTTTTAAATTATATTTTCCCTCATAAATATATAAGTCCTATAATTTGTGAAATTAGCAAAATTTTATCAATTTTTATACAATTTTACCAAATAAGTAAACTCATATTTAATAAATAAATACTTGCATTTACTTGTTATGACTACAAACTTATGTTTTACATATATTTTTACAAAAATCAACTAATTGACGATAATACTAACTAAACTAGGAGCAATCTCTTCGTATTGAACATTAATCGATTCTATAAAATTTAAAATAATAATTTTTATTATTATGTATTAAACTTATAATTCAACTTTATTATTTAAAAAAAAAAAAGGACTAAATCACAATTTAAAATTTGAAGAATTTAAGATTTTTTTAAAATATATATATATGAAAGAAAAGGGAAAAAGAAGTAGGCTTTTATATAAAACAGCATAAAAGAGGAGAAATTTCGTATTGTTCTTTGAGGGTATTTACTTCACTTCTCATTGAGAAATAGAGAATCTGAAAGAATCGAGAATGGGCGGAGGAGGATCAGTGAAGGAAGTTCAATCGAAGGCGGAGCTTGATAAGATTGTCGCCGACGGATCACCGGCGATTTTGCACTTTTGGGCATCATGGTGTGAAGCTTCTAAGCACATGGACCAAGTCTTTTCGCATCTTTCTACTGATTTCCCACATGCCCATTTTCTAAGAGTAAGCAAAATCTTCTCACTTTGTGCATATATGGAAGAGAAGCCCAAAAAGATTGTATCTTTTTTAATTTATCGATCGATTTCTGGTTTTATTTTTGGTTATATGACTGGCGCTGTTATATTTCTTACTGAGAAAGGTAAAATAAGATAGGTTATGGAATTTTGAATGATCTTGAAATATATTGATGCGTTATTGATTGATTTTCTGCTTGATATGTTCTTGTTGGGGGTTGTTTAGTTTTTGTTCCCCTTTAACTAAGGTGTGAAGGGTTAAGAGTTTTTGTACACTTCTTTTGTGAAACTTTATTGGAGATGGACCAAGTTTATATCTTTTTAATTTATTGGTTGAGTTCTGGTATTTTATTGAATGGTTTTTGATGTGGCTTATGGAATTTTGAATGAATTGTTGGATTGCTATTTTCTGTTTGATATGCTCTTTTGTTTGGAGGGGGTTCTCTGGGTTTGTTTTTTATTGCTGTGCTTTGAGGGTTTAGGGTTTTGTTGTTCATTATTCAGTTTTCACATGTAATAAAACTCAGAAAGTATATATATTTTAATTCTTTATATCGATATCAATACAGTCCAGTGGTTTAGGCATAGGAGTGACAACTTGGAGATTATTGGTTTGAATTTGGGTTATAACACCAGGGTGTTTAGCCTTGGTGAGCAGGTTTACCATTGGTAGATTAGTCAAATGTGTGCAAGCCAGTACCTGGTACCACCTTCATTAGTAAAAATGGCAGTTCATAAGATTTTGGACGAACTACAAAGCTTTGTGATGTGCTATTGAAAGATATGCTTTAAAGGGTTTTGGACATATTGTTTCTGTTTGGAGTGTTTTTTTTTAATGTTTGTTTTGGGAAGATATGCTTTAAATGGTTTATGGTTCTGTAGTGAATGTAGATCATTCTTGTAGTGACAATGAGATTTCTCCTTTTGCACAGTAAGTCTTGGTTTGTAGTAAACAATTGTTTTGATAAGATATATAATTTTATTAATTCGGGAAAGCACTTGTGTACGAGCAGTATGCCAAGATATAGATAATCTATACCAAAATATGGTTCTCCATTAATGACACTCAATCTTCTATACAATAGGCTAACTTTGGTGAAATTTTAGGGTGCTACTGTTAAGAGTTTTTTGGTCAAACTTGGTACTAATAGAAATAAGCTTTGCTCTATTAGGCAACTATTATTACCTCTTATAAGCTCATTGTCACATTCTTTGGTAGATGTTGAAGAAATAAAAGCAGTTTGAGGAAATGAACATGCATTATTTACTCAAATAAACACAAAAAGTTAGGGAAAAACAAGTACTTCTTTGTTCCAATTTATGTGGTACCATTTGACTTGCACAAAGTTTAAAGTAAGAAAGGAAGACTTTTAACATTGTGGTTTAAAACAGACCTTAGTCTTTTGTGCGGCTATAAATCAATTCATTTTAAGGGTAAAAGAG